CGGTTGGATACCGGCAGTTTAATCGCTTCATGTGTGAAACCGTGTGACCTTATCGGGTGCTAAATAGCAAACCTCTATTCGATAATGTGATGAGAAAACGAAATCAGCAGTTGAAAGGATCACGAGGGCAGTCAGTCAGTCCATACACACGCAACGGAAAAAGGAGTACGAGATAATCCTGACGTAACTCAAACGTTAATTGCAACAATCTAGATCTAAGTTTCACTTGTGATTGAATTCTGCGTGGTGTTCGACATGGAACACCGGACATTTGTTTAGTCTGCGTCGGGACCCGTCAACAGTGAGCTATCTGAGTATCCCTGCCAGGACACAAATTGTAAGTCTTCGAGTTGATCTACACCGTGGACACCTCGGACAAAAGATTACGCCAAATTCAAATTACTGCACTAGAAGACTACGGTGGTGTGGAAGTTCCTATCTTAATACAAACAACATAAACTGTATTATCCGTAATCTCTGTCATCATCGCGGTGCATTATTGGTAAACGCTTACAATTCACACGATGTATCAACGTCGGTCCTCGCGGTTTTTTTAACCGAATTTCCTTCTACTTCGTTACGCGTGTTGATGACTCGCTTTCAATGGTCGCATGAAACTTTAATTGCTTCGAAAGATCTCTTCGCACTAGTCAGTCTTATCATCACCTCAGTTGATTTTCACCTACCCGATTAAGTGACCAGGTAAACTCAGCTTTTGTAAGAAATTCCAGCATTGTTCGGATACGGGTCTATTAGTTCCTTCGATTAGTGTGTTCACATAATTCACCCCAACCTGGTTCCAACAAACACAAGATTTTTTCTCGAGTGATAAGAAAACGTAAATGTGACCTTGAAAACTCAACGGATCACAGATGACCAATGCCCTCTATTGATTTTACGGTATTCCCCAAGTCTAGCGGGCACCTGCCAGCAACTTTCACATTAGGTCAAATTCTGTCAATAATTATGCTGTCCCGTCGGAACTACTTACGCCATGGTTGATCGGTTTTCTCAAACGTATTTATCGGAAGAAAAAATGGGCACTTACCGCCGGAAAGGTAGATGTTACTAAATGTCTAAGTCCTCTTATCTAGCACGGGACTCGTCCACTTAAACTACTATCAACGCTGTTCTCAACCACAACAGCTACCGCGAGGTGTAGTTTGTTCTAAAAGAACTTTGCCGTGGGCGGAAGTCAGTGCTCTGAAGTTCAAGACCTTCGCAGACAACATGCGGTCGCTGTTCAAGTCAATCAGACTATTCCCTATCTGTACAGCTCCCAAAAACTTCAACACGGCAGAGATCACGACTGTTTTCGGGTGCCTTAAAGCCACCAAGACCTACGCTCTTGATCTGACTTCTCCGAATTGCTATAAGAGTGAGTTGAAAAGCCTGCAAACGTTCAACGGCTAAATTCACGCATGTTTCATGAGAGAATCTAAGATTAGATCCGTTCTCAAAAAGGGTTCCATTAAATATCGTCCAAACGCTTGTATTTTTGTATTTTAGAAGTGTACCTTTACATGGCATGTCTTACCTGTTGGACCTGGACAATATTCCTACAAATCTTTTCTTTTAACCCTTGAAAATGTTGTCTATCACATTTTCAGTCGGTCTACATATCACTTGGTCAAATGTACCGATGAGCTCCTAAACTTTCAAAATGCTGAACCAGTTACCTCCTCACTTTTAGCCATCATTTTCCATTCCCCACCATTTATCGCATTCCTGAGAACACTGTTGGTGAACCGCGTGTTGCTCTTGTCTATTTTATCGTAAACAAAAGTTTGGAGCATGTGACCACTTTTTAAAAAGCTGTTGTCTACACAGAAATCTTCTTCGGGCCTTAGCCACCCGTACCCAAATCAAAGCTCTTTTTTTAGAATACCTACTTACAAGAATTACACTATTCTCCACCTCGTGTAGTTTAGTAAATCGGTCGCCAATTACCAATGAACTGAAAGAATGCCTATCACAGTAGCCTAAAATGCTCTGTGTTTACTTGTCTGTTGTCATTTTGTTACCGCAATTTTATATCTATGTTCTTGTACGCTCTACCGCATTTCCTTAATCGGTTTGAGAATTGACCCGTTTCCGATTCGTGAAGCTTGATTTGACTTGAACAGGTTCACAGAGACATTCAGTGCAAGTCTCAATTCATTATTATTTCAGTTTTCTGTTATATCCTCTGAAACATTTTTTCTGACCCTCTCCGTTCTATTCCTGTTGGCGAGTCGCGCTACACAAACGAACACGGTTCCCGAATGCTAGGCATAGAGGTTGTGATCGGATCTATTGTGATTAACCAGAAGCCGCGGTGAGCAACATTACGTAACAGAGTAATATGAAGGAAAAAATTGAAATTTACTACTCACTTCTGTTTAGTCACTTTGAGCTGATGGGCAGCAAGGAATTGACTGTCACGTCGCATCTCACGCATAGCACCACGCTTCTCTCGGGCCAATTTACGCTGTATCGAACGGCGAGGGTCCGTATTCTTTGGTCGGCGCGCATCTAACCTGCAGGGAGAAAGAAATGAGAAAGTCGTGTTTAGAGAGAGAGAGAGCACAATACGGAAACGTGAAGTCAAATTTTAACGAGAGTAATTGGCAGTGATGATCAAATTAAAATTTGAATCACAATGTCAGGACATGAGTTGATTCTAGCAAAGGATCGTTTTAAAATGTCCGCTTTCATACGACAGTATGAAACTGTTATCTACATCATTAGTTCAACCTTCATAAACCGAAAGCAGTACTAAATGTTCTAATAAAAAGGTTGATGCGGTTGAGGAAATTTGCAGTATATTGGTTTTCAAGTGTGGGATCTATTGTAGAGAATCTTCCGATAGGCATCTCCATAGGTGTCAGTTTCATCGGTTATTCGATCTCTCTTCAGTTCTATCTCACATGGAACATTCACCAGTCTGTTGGAGTCGAGCTATGCATATAGTACAAGGTGAGAAGGGGTAAAATAAGCGCCGGGCAGGGGAAAACGAACCTTGCGCTCAGCACCAAAAGCAAGCCGAACAGGAATGGTATAACGAAAAGCCGATGTACAAACCAAGAGAAACCGATTCTGTGAAATGTACGGGAACTGAATCCCAATTGAAATGACGTAATGTTTAAGAAAAATCAAGGGAAGTTTTAGAAGTATTGAACCCTCAGTCTGATATTGGGAACCCCAGGGGGAAGTAAGTTCCAAGTTACTGACTGCACCACGGTTGTGATCGACATTGTTGGTGGCATGAAAGAATGAGAGAAGAGAAAAAACAATACAAAGTGGTGTATAGTACGATAAATCACTCAGAGGATTTGGGTTTGCTAGGCTTGGGAAAGGGTGATGTGATAAGAGGGCTACTGGGAAGAAAAATACTGATGTAGCGGCAATCATTCTAGGGATATAGAGTCCTGAAAACCACCCTAGTTGGCTGAATAATGGTACCAAAATGTGTTCTTATACTAGAGTAGACGGAAAACTTTTCGAACAATCCGATCGAATAACGAACCACAGAAATAGAATCACTAGTAGATGTTGCTGCATATGCACACAGTAACGTTTGAGTTTAAACGCAATGCCAAGAGATTAAACGAGAGGGGTTATGTAAGTCATCTCAAAGAATTTTATTGGTGTCCTAATAAAGTGTATTACACGTCCGCTGAACCTGGGGTACAGATTACTAATTAAAACATAGAAGTAAAAATGGATAAAATTGCAGCTGAAGGTAAGACGAAAATGAAGGGTTAAAAATTCTACATCTTGAATCAGTGATCCGGAAAATTCCAATGAATCCAGCTAACGTGTAGCTCAACATGAGCTCATTTGCACACTCACACTCCGTGCTTGATACACACTTTTGTAGGACATTCAATGTGAAAACTCCTCGTGAGATGGAACCAAGATTTCACGCACTCCCCAACGAGCTCAGCTAAATGATGATTTCAATACCAATTGTTTGTTTGTTCAAATCATCTCCCCCGTTCCGCGTGTGATCGGTTGTCGATATGGAGCGACCAAGATCAGAATGCACCACAAATCAGTTGTTTTCATCAACTTATTTGGCAATGCACGAATCTGTTTCCTCATTTGCATAGCACACAGAAACAAAAAATTATTCACCACGAACAACAATCGTTGTGGTTGCTCTTGTCGTCTGTTCCGACGGTTTTTCGGTGTCCACGCTTGCATGTTGAACTCTATGGGTCATACAGTGGTCTTCCTTGCTAAATGACACGCGTACGCGCTACGGCCGCAAAGGGTTCGTTTCAAATACACATCTCAAAAACGCATCATTCTTCGTCACAAGCGACAAGTCTCACACTGTTTTTCGTGCTATCCGAAAGCAAGAAACCGGATTCGATAAATCACTTTGAAGGCCAAATACCAAATGAGCAACAATTACGCTTGACACAGCTCCACTCTCACCATGAGTGTTAGCATGGATTGTGTTCTCTGAAGCACTGAGATAGCTCCCTCTTTTTTCGATCGACCGACGTAAGTCTTCACACAGGTGCACTTGAATTGATAGAAAATCACATATAAGGTCCGGCCAAGCGTCTTATCTTTTATGGAATCGGATATTTGGTGACACACATCTCGGCTTAGCCACATTAAAATTGGATTTCATTGCAGCGACTAGGACACTACCAACCTGTCAGCTGCGGCGTCTCGTTAGAATGGAGACGGAGCACCAGAGTGACATGCATTCGGATTTCCCAATCATTTATTGAGCCTCATTACACCCCTCGAGAGCAACAGGGGTTCGGATGTTAACGAATGCAGAGGCGATTAGTATCCTTTTCATTAGGCTGAACTGTGTGCACACCGCATGTTGATTCAAACACTCAACCCCCATCCCCTCTGATCGAGGGAAGATAAAATCATTTATGCATACGAAAATTGCGTTACACAGTCAATTGTGGTTATATAATGCAAGTACCCCACCAAGTTGGACTGGTTTTTGACTCATTATAACACACATAAGGCACACCTCCTCTTTCTATTTGATCTAACTGAATTTCGCTTCGTATAAACGTGATTGAGAATGAACCGAGAACACGTTCGCATGGTTTCCTACACGAATGACTTTCGTGCTGTGTGACAGAATCCGATTTGGGATGAAAATAATGCTCACGATAACTAGACACATCAAACTGGAAGGGCGGGGTGGATCGGATACTGATAGCGTGCCGGCAATCAACCAGTTATTCGCCAATAGCTACTGCACGAGCTAACACCAGTTATCGTGATTCGATCGGTAACACTGACTCATTGAAACAATCTGTACGTTTCTGCCAAGCCACGAGTTTTATATCGGTTCAATCAGGACGTCAACAAATGAAATTTCATCGTAAACCGCTCTCTAGACGAGTTGACAAAGCAGTTTGATCATTATATGCGCATGATAGATCGATAGTTGTCAGGCACATGATGCACTGTTTCCGAACTCTGAGTACTCCAAACTTAGTCTGCCCTGACGTTTTTGTGCAGCCCTAACACGATTGTCTGGTTAGTAAAGGAAAAATACATCGGATTGAGACATGGTCAAGGTATGCAGCACAAACGAGACACTCTGACGTTGAGGGCCACCTGGTGGCACTTTTTTGTCTCATTTCACCTATGAAACATATATCAAACACCAGAGAGAATTTCACTTTTCTGTTCATGAATGCGTTATGTAAATAATCTGGACGATTTACTCTACATTCGGAAAGGAGAGAACAGGATTGACAGTAAACGTACGCAATACCGATTTACGAGTCAGTATGGTGTATGGATCTAAAAATGTTTCCAACATTTTATTTGTCCATCTGTTAAGAACAGCTGGTCTTTTGTTTAATTTCTACACTAAAAGCAACCATAAAAACTAATATCAACTTTCAGAGGGGAATTACGTGACTGCAATAAAAATGAACTGATCACGTGCATTGATTCAGAAGTACATATTGTGACCATATTTTCTGGGATCTACGAATATCATTGAACGCTTAGCCTCGAGACCTAACAGTCACTCAACACGAACAATTCAGCATTCACCGTAGGACAGATTGAAAAGGATGAGAACAATCGCATGTTAAATCGACAAAGCTCTGAATTCAACAAAAGAATTTGAGTGGGACTCCCCAAATCCAGAAAATAAAAAGGCACATGAGCACAGCAGCCAGGGGACATTGAATAGATTGACAGTGAAAGCTGTCAACTCCCGCTGATATATAATGAAAATATAAATAATACATATGTGTTTATCCGCAACACCTAAGCCCCATGTCACTGTTTAGAGATTCGTGACCAAAATATATATTCGTAGTTCAAGTGTATGAAGGTCTGGATGAGAACTTACGGTGGATCTGAGAAGCAGCGATGGCCGCAAAACCAGTCGTGCTTCTGGAATAATTTTATCTAGTCATTCACATACTACACTAACGTGTTTGATTAGGGGCACTGGACTGAAAATCCAACAGAGCGTAACGGTTCGCGCACAACAAATGCGAAATAATTATGTCGTATGGATATCAGGATACTCACTTTTCCTCGAAACGTGGCTCCAGTTGGGGAATCAATCCCATTTTTTTCAGCGTTCTCGAATCCTCCGGTTGGTCCGAGCTCAGTAAGGTCAAGCGTATGTTAGCGGTTAGGAATTCGGGGGTTTTGGTGCGTGCTATGGAATCCATTGTCTCCAACAAACTGTTCACACGCTGACTGAGCTGGGTATGCCATTTACACTGACTCAGTCGTTCCAATACGCTCCGCATTGGTGCAAATAGGTGAATGCACACAGTAGAGGGCAAGAGACGGGAATACAGAGTATGTGCACGAGAGCACAGTTCCAGAAGACAATTGACACAGGAAAGTTTTATCAAGGGCAACTGTTCTCGGGTTAATTTGATCGATGGATCGGTCAATCGGATATCCAGATGACTAATTGCAGTACTGAAGTGCCAGAAGGAGAAAACACCTCCATATCAAAACATGACATAGGATAATAAGGTTAAACTGATTGTTACTGAAAACTACTGTCTGATAGAAATAAACAGTGTATTGGAACACAGTGGTGAGCCTGAGCAACGAGGAAATACAATTCGCTTCCTGGAATCCTGTACTCAAAGTGGCGATCTACAAAAAGGCCCAATAGGATAGTCATAGTGTTATGCTTCTAACAGGTCAGTGTTGGGCTGAAGACTCTTTATTACGAATCACAGTTAGCGTATGGACAAATTGGCGTACATATAATAAGACGTCTCATTAGGAACATATCATCGAAATTCCCAGTGGCACACAGGATAATAAATGGAAAAGACCGGAGTTGTGATTTTTTAAACAGTAATTAGCTTTGAGATGTCCTGTTCATTTTTGATCGTTGTGAGGAACCGCCAATCACATTCCTTCGCGCAATCCAAACATACTACTCAAAAATGTAAGATCTCATAACAGTAATACTACGCAAAAGAAGAATGAAGGACCCGATTCAGAGGTATAGTTGACTGCTGGACAAAAGCAAGATTGTGTTCTGTCATTCGTCTTTTCATAGCTCCAATCAATATGAACATTGATTCAGACCGTTAAATGATTAATGTCAAGAGAGTTTAAAAATAAAATGATTGAGTAGGAAACAGATAAACCCTGAAGACCTCTGTACGAATGCTCTAACTTTTTTTGGTGGCAGCATTATCGAGAGCGGTAATCTGTTGTCCCGCACCTCCCAGGATGAGGGCCGAAAGATTCTGCACTGGTTGGTTGGAGACATTGAAGGATATGGAAGCGAACCGGCAGCAGTGGCATTCTTGTTGGCATTTCTTTTCAGACCGGAATGCTTGAAACGGTACGGATGCAGATTTAGATTGTGTGCTCTGTCGACCATAATGGTTCACCTTCTTCCCCTTCTCCCTCAAAATTGATCCAATTCCTGTCCTTCTAACATTTTACCACTAACCTTGTATGACTTGCGAGTTAGGCAGCGATCAGTGAAGTTCACTTCGCTGTACTTCGCAGCACAATGATTATGATAATGATGTGGATGTGATGCATATATAAGACTGATGGCGTTTCGGGCGGAAATGAGAATCAATAAACACATGAGTAAAATAATAGAAAACTGGAGGTCAACCAACGGTGTTGGTTTGATTCGAGACCCACGGTGTATACATACATCAGACAGGATTGGAAAGATGCATAACGAGCAAACGGATGACACGGACTATTTCGGGAACTCACTCGTCTGCACACAAACCATTTTCTGGCAGTACCAATGCATGGCATCCGGAATCGCTGGCGGAATCCGGACTCATAAGTTCCAGAAGTAGGATCAAAGCCTGAATGATTTCGGGACAAAAAGCACCTGATCCTGTCGTTTGCGAGTTTAACATTGTATGACGATGCTGCTCATCTGTGAAGTGTTTTTCGCAGTGGTCCAGAACAAGCTGTATCAACCACAAAAGTTGAATCGCTTGTTTTAACCCGGTTGGTCGGAGGGTGCTAAGACTATTCGCTAGAAAGACAAGTACTGAATGCTGGTGCTCTGGCATTTGAAGGAGAATCCGCAGGAGATGGCCCTATCAAAATCGAAACCAATTTGAATTAAATGAAATCACATAAATACATCAAGATCAATGACAAGGATAAACCAGGAGGAAGACCAGAACATAGCGTGATGCCGACAAAAACAGCAAATGGTCAGATTTCACAGATTCTCTCTACAAAAAAAATGGAAGTTGAGCCTAAGAATAATAGCTAACGTCTACGCACAACTAAAAACTCAACTGTCATTCAGAAGTAACGTGTGCACAAACATTTTTGAAGGTTATGGAGACATTTACTGAATTTCCGATCCCTTGATTTTATTCACCATCGGTTAGTAGTTCTCTTGGTATAACTGTTTAGATGCGACGGAAATCTTTAAGTTCCGGCTTTGCTGGTATTCGCAAGCATAAACCAGATGTTAAACTTAGAATGGATGTGATCAGACAAGGGGTTCATATGACGACTCCCATGAAGAATTCCAGGGACATTTTTGTATGCATAGAATTTCTGCCACGACTACAATGAATCGAAGGGATGGGAGTTTGTAATTCACAGAAAATAATCCGTTATGAACGAATTGTCAGGAAGGAACGCGCTTATACATGATAAGGAATAATCAATAAAGGTGAGCGAGGGGAAAACAAATGGGAAAAAACTAGTTAGATGCCTGATAATTGAAAGCCATTACAGAGCATACAAATTTCATTATTTTTTAATTTGTTTATTACCCACTTGTGTGGCGAACAGTAAACGGGATGAACTCCATAGTCACGAAGACCTGATGTTAAGTGATGACAACTGGTAACCTAAGTCTTCGAATGACGAACCACATAAGATCAGGTCAGGTATTGAACCGGACGACAACGAAGTCTACTAACAAAGTTGGGTGGTGATGGCAGGCCTCGAACCTCGGACCACAAGGCCCAAAGCACGCCGGTGACAACGAATACACCAATGCACCACCACCACTAACATCCGAGGACGGACGCAACAATGGACAGATGGAATGAAGCGGCTAACCTCAGAAATCGATTTGTCGAGAACTACAGAGCCGAAGGGCGTGAAATTATTCTCATTTCTAGTGACATATGAGGTGAATGAACAGAATATTGCAAAAATGACCAATAACTGGGCAAAACTGTTTGCCGCCAATGAGGTATCATATTTCAAAGTTAAGTGTGCTCGAGATGAACCATCTACGACGTTTACTCACGTAATAAACTATGAAAATGAAACAGGCTGGGTGCCAATACTGTACATAACAGAATATGAGACGAGCAAAAATTGAACGGAGATTCGAAGATCCTATTTGCCTCCGCGATCACGCCAGTGTCGTGGTTCGTCGAAGTGCTAGATTGTCCAAAACCGAGAGAGCAAGCTGACGTACCTTTGACTTAAAAGTAGTCAATCGCTCTTTACAGTCTGCAACTCTTTGGGAGGGACGGTAGATCAGTAACCAAAATATAATCATTAGTTTGATGGCCACAAACAATATGATTGAGAGGGAACATTGGATCGACAGAGTACAGTGAGTACCTGACTTGTTTCAGGGTGGTGATATATATATATATATATATATATTTCAAATTTGGTTTCCATCTACGCCATTTTAAGCGACTAGATATTATTGAGAAATTCAGAATATCAAACGAATGGAGAAAAGATTAAACATTGGGACTTATAATCAAGGATGGGATTGACCTACCACATTCTTTCGCCTGTCCACAGACTTACTGACCAGCTTTTCTCCGATCGAATCATCAGTATTTCTAATCAAAACAAAAAAGGAATGATTCAATAGCTCTAACGCACTGCTGCAATAAACTAATAATGATTGAACAATAAGGTGTGATGCATGGTACAGATTGAGATATTACTTTGAGAAATATGCAAATACTGATGCTGGTTGTTATTTTGACGCTCGGGCAGTGTAGCTTAACTTTTAGTTGTTCACCAATTAGGCTGACAATTTTTAATTCCCTCGACTGAATGAGACTTGTATGATCTGGTCAGCAAACCTGGTGGGCAAGTGAACAAAAATCATTCCAATGCTGTCAGATTTATGACGAAATAGGTGTTGGGGACATTCGTATTCCCTAAAAGAGATTCAACGCCGTTTTATCTTTTCCTCGCGCATTTCGAGTGTATCGTGTGAATCATGAATCAAGTTTCTAAACTAATTTATCATTTGATGGAACGGTATCGTTTTTTCACGAGCAAACAGCACCTAAGTACTGTAAGGCTACAGGTTTATCGATGGCTTGGCCAATTGTGACTGATTAGATCTTCAAATATCCGTCCCAAAGGCTGCTGTCCAAAAGATAAAATGACCGATACTTTGAATATCAGCTGTTGATTAATCGCTACTTCTGAAATAGCTCTACGTGTGTGAGAATGCATATATCAGAGGTTTCCACTGAAATACACTTAATTTTACACAGCTGATTGTATTTTTTTGTTAATTCTCAGCGATGTGACCTTTTGCGCGGAGATCATGAGATAATGCCGAGCGGTTTTAATGTAAAATCCTACTGAAAAGTGTGACACCTGAGAACGACGAGCGGTTTTGGTAGGAGCAACGGTGTGCGCAGTGTGGACGGACACCAACAAGGATGAAACAAATTTCACAATGCTCTCTGTTAACGATTACAACATCGTGCCGTGAAGTGAATATTATTCTTCGATATGATACTGCAGTACACAAAAACAAACCTAGCAGAAGATTCACTCAAAATGGTCTGTAATCGTAATATCTTCTTCTCTTTGATGTTTGGATCCGCTACGGGAGCTCCAACGGGAGCAACACGTTTATCTGAACCCATTGTCTCCAACAGCCGCTGAAAGTTTGCGCGGTTTTTGATGACTTCGGTTGACGTTGGTTTCTGATATGGAAAGAAAACAAGAGTGAGGAAATGCAGTTCCAAACCTTCGATTTGATAGAGACACCAGATAGCAAAAAACGAATTTTTTGTGACCAATCAATGTCTGCAGTTTTTAAACGGTTTCTTTGTTCTTCATTCTCCTCTACACGTTTGAGCTTCTCTAGTTTCGATATGGCAATTTTTTCTGCCAATGAATCACGAAATTTCTGTGAATGGGAGCCTTTGGAGAAGAATTCCTCCGTCACATGCGCTGCAACAAATTGTTAATTAGCCTAAGTAAAGGGCTTACCGTGTATTCCCACATCTGATTGTTCATCCATTCTAAGATTTTTCAACTTTGTAATGGATTGCTCCCCGAATGCGACCTTGATCATGGGATCTTCCTCATCCTTTTCGAATTGTATATCATCTAAGTGTCGCTGTTAGTTACGTCAAACGTAAAATTCAACGTCAGACTTACCAATCGTTCCACAATGTGACGCTGTAGATACTTTTCTTGGTCGGATTTGTTCTTGTCTCGAACACCAAATCGAGAATCTTTCACACCTCCGACCTTCCCCAGACGCCTTAGTTGGCTTTCTATGAGCTTCTCACGAGGAGCCTTTTTGACATGCTTCTCCGTTTTTTTCTTCATTACTTAGAACCAAAATTCTAAAAAAATATGAACAGATTTGCATGAACAGTCCCGCAGCACTCATTGAGAAACAACACAGTGTCACGAACATACTCGTTTTCAGTCANCATCCGTAATCATGCCGGTGCATGACATTCAACATGATTATCAAAACAACTTCTCGCACAAGAAACGACGCCGCCTTACATGGAAACTGCCAATCTCTCCGCAGCGATGGACCCTAATGCACGATATTACCGTGGGTTACTGCTGGAGGGGGTCGATTCAAGACTGCAGCTCTCACTAGTCAACAACTGTGGATACTTTGACGAGTCAAATTTTTCTTACGCCTGGTAAACAATCACAATAAAACCAACGACAGTAGATACCCACCATACAATGTTAGCGATAGTTGCAAATAGCCCTTAGAAGTGGAACTCTTCGATCGCCTATCAGTTCAACCATGGCTCAATGAACACTGGAAGGAAATCAAGAAGCTATGCAAACGTCGATGAAAACAACGTCAGACTCTGACGCAGGTTTAAAGCGCAAAAGATAGATCTCGTCGACCTCGGGCTGCCCTCAGGAACTTTCCTCCGAATGCCAAATATATAACTGCCCGCAAATCCCTTATCATCACCATCATCACCCAACAGCAAGATACAAAGAAATGAAATTCGTAGATCACTGCCAAGCTCTCAATGTACACAAAGAGAGTGATAAAGAACAATATGGATGGGGTTTGGGCTTGACTGGAGGGAGGGAGGGTAAAGTGAACATCTATGGTCAACACACAGAGTGCATAACTTAACAGTGCATGCATACCTTTTCAAGCTCTCTGGTCCGATAAGAAATGACAACAAGAAAGTCACTGCTGTCGGTTTACAGCCATATACTGCAGTGTCTCCAACCAACCAATCACAGTCTTTCGGACCCTAACCTACTCTGCCTAATCCCTAAAACGCCAGCTCACCAAAAGCCTGAGAAATGATGACGAGAATTGGTGGGTAACAAAATGCAGAGATGAAGAAAGCTGCGGCTATTGGCAACGATCGCACTCTCTCTGAGTAGTTAGGAACACGGACCTAAAGACATCAGCTGTACTTGAGGCAATTAAGGAGTCAGACGGCACATTGATTCACCATCGGCAACGCCGTATTGATCGACGGGCAGAACATTAAGAAGTACAATTCCTCCGAAAGCCTCAGTATGGTCGGGGGTTGGTGTCTAGGGTTGCAAATGGTCACCCTTCTCTTGCACCTAGCGAAATGCTCTCATATGACCAAGAGTCTCGAATAGTCTCTGCTGAGGAAGCCCTACTTACTGCCTTCTCGTAGCGGAGGTGTTTTCCCACCAAAGTCAGAGAACGAAAAGCCGACATCCGGGGCCATAACCGGGTTGGTGGGCCACTGGTAGTTCACTTAAGGAAGTTAACCAAAAACCCTGATTCCAAACCCACCAAGAGGGGCGCGAACCACACCCTCCTCGGTGTGGCAGTGGTCACCGGCTCGATTGGGCATTAAGGTATTGGGTACCTTGGACGTTTGCCCCCGTCAAAAGAGCGTATGATCCGATGAACTGGACACCGGCCCNGACTGCGGTTTTCACACCGCCCCGCTGCCTTGAGGGTCAGGCTTTGGCTAGCCAAAAGCTCCAGTTGTGGATTCCTCAAGAAAATTCACCTGTCTTGGCCTGGGCAACCTGACAGTATTCAGCCCACAAGCCAATCATGGAACGTTGTTCTCTTTTATAAAGAATATTGTACCATGATTTACTTGGCAGTCTGTCCTCAGACAAGTGTGAAATATAATATTAATAACAACGCAACTGACCCCCCCCCATCAACATTTGACCTACCACACTCTATCTCAACTTGACAAACACTCCCAGTTAATGCCAATCTTTCATTTGAAATGGAGGTTCCCCGGGAAGAGCTAACTTAAAAGGTATAAGGTCTCCAGCCCAAATGAGCTGTTCCCATCGGCTTTTTAAGGATGGAAGTTTAGTGTTGGTTTTGGATGCCCTCGGGTTAAGCAGAGCTGAGTGCTCCCAGGTGCGCCCCCGGGTTGTGGATAGGGGGATACCTTCACCGAAGAAGGTTAGCTGTGAAGTTGTGATATACCGCAACAAATAAGCAATCGCGAACAAACAGCGGCGGCACTACCAGGGTGTGGTGGGTTTTAGGCTGGATACCTGGCTTCTGTTTAAAAGCCACATAAGCTCAATCACGGTGTCGTGACAAAGGTTGATGTGACTGGCCTTTTAAAACTAAAGTCATTGATCCCTCACTTCCGAGGCGAGGGTTTACTTCCTGTTGCCTTGCAGTTCGCACTTGGTTGAACAAAGGCTAGAGGTGCGCCTTCAAAATAAAAAACACCAAGTGACGCTGGGGACGTTTCTCGTACCAAACTCCCAAGTACCTTCATGATTATGTCTACTACAGGCTTTGTTACCCATGCTACGGCGTCCCCGGCAAGCGACGCGCCCCGCACTCCTCCAGTGGTCGGGGTGTCAAGAATGCGAACTGGACTTCTTCAACCTATGCGACTTAGAAAGCACCTCTACGTGGGATGCTGGAACGTCAGGACCCTCATGGACATCGTGAGTCAAACAGTAACCATGCGCACTTTACACGACTACCGCGTAGATGTTGCATGTTAATCCGAAGTACGATTAGCCGGCTCCGGCTCCCGTAGCATCAAGGTTCCCGGTTCTGATAGCCAAAACTATTTTTATCATAGTGGCTCAGAAAGTTCAGATCAACACGGAGTGGCTTTAGCGCTGAGCCAGGGCGTCAACGCTGTCTTACTCTCTTGAGAACCAAAATCGTCAAGGATCGCTGTAGCACGCTTCAAAGGTAATCCAACCAACCTAACCGTGGTACCAGTCTACGCCCCCACTCTACCATCCGTCAGCGTAGCGAAGGACGAGTTTTACGACAGGT